TTTAATTAGTGTGTTCCCTCCCACTTTTGCCTCCCCTCAGGCTGGAAAGTGGCCAGCATGGTTTGTGAGAGATGTAGTTGTTTTTGGAATTAAATGACACTGGGGCTAAGTCCAGTTCTGGTGACCTGTAGCTGAAGTAAAAGAAGTGTAGCTTTATGAGTTGAGGGAGAAAAGGAGGTTTGTACAAAAATGGAAACATGGCAATGGCATCAGGATTATTAAGGTAAGGTGTTGCTGGTTTTTTTTAAGCAGCTAGTTTCCCAAAGCGTATTCCCACTAGCACTTTTTTTAATAGGGAGTTTTGGATGTTGTCAGCTTTTCTACAGATACTTCCCTCCACCCTCATAAAATATTTTTAGTGATTTTTAGGGGTGCTTATATTTGTTGTTGCTGTTGTGAAATGAGCTATTTTATTTGTGCGAACAAAACATAATGCCACAAAATAGGCCATAGTTGCAGGATTATGTAATTTACCCAGGCCTCTAGGATTCAAACTGTGCACAGAGGGGACTTTCTCAGACATCAGAGTCCTTCCAGAATCCCAGTAGACAAGGTGAAAAGAGACAGGAGTTAGCCAGTCCCCTCCCCAGAGGATCAGAGGAGGCCGCCGTCCTGCTGTCTGACAGTGTGACACAAGCCTTGCTCTGCTGAGCCTCTGTTTGCTGGGCTGCTTCTTGGCAGGCAGACACAATCACATGTGTGGCCAGATCTTCTTCAGCTGGCATCAACTGGCAAACCTTGGTTGGAAATGCTTGAGTCACAGGGTTGGAGGCTTGGGTGAGCAGTGCACTAGGCAGCTGCCTTCTGCTTGTGCACTTTCATCATATTCAGTGCTTGCTGCCTGACTCCTCATTGGTAAATCAGCCCCTGAATTATTATTAAACCCTCAGCATGGCAATTCTTTCAATATTTTTTTCTTTTGCCATCTGTCTGTGTAGACCATTACAAAGCCCATTAAAATTGAGGTCTGTGCTCCTGGTGCACCCACTTGGTTGCACAGGTGCTGCACAAAAAAAATAGAAAATTTGCAGGACTGTAAGTTTTTACATTTTAAGGCATTTTTTGGATCACATATAGCTAAATGATGCTAATATTCTTGGGAGTTTAATACTTTTCATTGTATAGGAAACACAGACATGTTAATGTCTGTTAAATGCTAGTGAACTATTTGAAAAAAACAACAACTTCAGTTTTTAAGCAGCAGTGCAGTAGAAGCAAGGGAAGGTTCTAAAGCCTAGGAAGGTTGTACCCAAGAGATGACAGCACTTCCATTGCAATGTATGGTCTTTAATGGGGCCTGTGGAGTTCAGGACTAGCAACTTGATTGTGACAGGATACCAGCAAATACAATTTTCTATAGGCAGATTAGGTTGGCTTTTACTATGAAAGATTATTAATATACTGCTGAAAATATTAACTGTGGTAATCATTCAGCTGCCACGTGTAGTATTAAATAAAGAATCAAGCAAGAACTTCAATTTAGAAGTAAGACTTCAACCTTAATATATACCATTGTCTTCACAACTTCAAAACAAACTAAAATGCTTTCCTTTTTTTTTGCTTACTAAAGTTTCTGCTTAGAAACCAAAGCAAGAAATCACTCAGTTTTTACAAGAAGATTACCAGACTCTCTGCTTGAGGCAGCACCTGTCATGGTCTTCCACAGCACTGTGGTGTTGCACTCGGCAGCATTTCTTTCAAAATGAGCAAGGGAAGACCACTCTGTGACACAGCTTGTGCCCTTAAAGAAGTCCATGGAAATGGTCGGCTAATAGGTGTTGAAAACTCAGAGGAGAGTGAGTGGAAAGGGCAGAGCTTTCTGAGAATCAGTGGAGGAAGTAAAGCCAGATCAGACCCCACGTGTGGGGCAGAGCCACAGCTGAGCTCCTGGAGTGAAGTTGCAGGTTACTGAGCAGTTGTTTCCAAGTGGTGGCATATTAAAGGTTTAATTTGCCCAACTGTGATGGGAGGGAAGTTGTCAAAGGCAGATGAAGGTAACTGCAGACAGAAACAAAGCTAGTTTTAAAAATTTGCAAATTAGTTGTAGCTCCTCTTTCTGTGGCTGAACTTCCAAGTGATGTTAGTTGCCTGAGGCCATGTTGCAAAGGACTCAGATGAAAGTAAGCTGAAGGTTGCTAATGGCTTAAGGGTGAAAATATGTAATGAATTGCATAGAAAAACATTTAGACTATTATAAAGTGGCTTGTATAAGCAATGATTAATCAAGTATATGGAAAAACCTGTGTAAGTTTTTATCACCAGTTGGTAGCAGAAGCTATAAGATGGCAAATATAGAAGCATGATGAGAAGAAAAGCCAAACCATTAGGGAACTACATAATCATGGAGTTTGAGAACACCTAAGGGGAGAGAAAAGCGAGGTATTGGAAGAAAGCTGGAATAAATTGATGGCACAATGTTAACATCTGACTGTGTGTGAGAGGTTGTGTCTGCTTGGACTAGACCTCCCACAACATTTTTTCTGAAACATGTAATGGATGACCACCACAAGCTTTGAAAGTGCTTAGAAGAACATGAAGGATCTTTGGAAAAAAAAAAATCCTGATAGGATTTGACAGAACAATAAACTTATCTGGAAAAATATATTTGAAGTTGTTTGCCACAAAGCAAGGAACCTGATGAGTCAAGTGACTCTGGCCCCCAGTGCTGCCCACATCAACAGGTGCTTGTGTAGGTGGCTGGATTTCCAGCAAAAGATCCTGTACCCTTCCAGATAGGGCAGATCTCTCATGGAAATGGCTCATGTACATGTGGGTAAGTTAAAATAGAAAAACGGCCTGTGGAGCCAGAGAGCACTAACGGAGAGTTCCCACTGAGGGAAACACTTGGCTTTCTCTCATGATCATCTGCTTGTATAACAAAAAATATTATCTGCAGTTGCTCTCAAGGGAAAGTTGAGAAGGAGGTTAATATTTCCAAACATCTGTTGAAAATTGAAAGAGAAGAAGAGGGTTAGTTGAAGCGTTTGATTCAGTCTTCTGCTGTTTCTGGCCATTTGGCCAAAGAAACTCCTTGGTGGTACCTCTGCAACCTGAGCACTTGCTTCTGTGTTTTTATGCCTCATTTCCACATGCTTGCATGGGGCTGGCTATTGTGGCATATTGACAGAAGAAAACCAGCCTGTTCTGTGAATATATTTGAACTGGATGTGAATAATTTATATATATATATATGAATAGATTATCTGGGATCACAGTACAAGTACTCTGCTCTTTGTGTTTTAGGCTTTATTTGTACAGCTGTATTTTGAGACTGCAACTTTTTGTCATGTCTATTTAGGTCTGTAAAGAAAACATTCTGGTGTGTGGCACAATGTGTTTACTGAAATGGAGTAAAATCTTACAGTTCCATAAAGTGAGGAAAAAAATTATTTTTTTTCCCTTTGGTAAAATCATGGGTTTATTGGGTTAAAAAAATAAAAATCCCAATGAATACTGTGTTCCATCTGGCTTTAGAGAGTAGGGAATGAAGGAGGCTGCCCCTCTCCCATACTTGGTGCTTTCTCTGCTAAGAGTTGTGTAGAGCAAGGAAGAAGCTGTTAGGTCCTGCCTGGTATGTGTGGGCACCGGCGCTCAACCACGCAGAGCGGGTGGAGCTGCTCTTGCCCTGTACAGCACCATCCTCTGCACTGGGTACAGTGGCAGTCTTGGAGAGGCAGGAAAATATACGTGGCTATTCAATTGAAAATCACAGGGTGAGGGAGTGGAATTTAAGTCTTACACATAACTTCATTTGACATTGTTTAATTTCTAGGGGCTAGAAACTGGAACCTGGCTGGTTTTCAGATTTTATTTTTCTCCCCTTCACTTCAGTGCATCACTTCTAGGTCAATTTTGATAAAAATGGAAGGCAACTCAGCATCTGTTAAGATGCTCAGACTCTGAGAAAAGTGCTTACTGTAAACCTAAGTTTTTTTTAAAAGTAATCATTAAATCAGAATTAAATTTATATTAGCAAGTTAGCAGTTTAAGCTCTTGATCTTAAAAGCACACGTATCTAGGAATAACTTAATAGCAGATGCTTCTGGTAGGCAGGGATGTGAGAAAGCTAGCAGGCTGTGGGGCTGGAGGAGATCGGACATACAGGAGGACAAGAGGCTAGTGACAGTCTGTGAGACAGGTCTGCCCCCATGAAGCTGAGGAGGCGTAACTAGCCAGGGAATGGCATTTCAGAGGAAAGTTAAGACCCTGAGCCTTGCTTAGCTTGCTGGGATGGCAGAATGGCTTGGCTGTGTTGGCTTGCAACCTTGCAAGAATTTGTGTTATAAACATTAACACATTGTATTCCAAAGAGGTAGCAGATTTGTTTGAGATACCTATTTGCTTAGGAAATCTTTGCTTATGGGAAGAAGCAGACCTGAAGATCTGGGAAGTGTTGGCAGCCAAAGGCAACCTGACACGGCTCCTGTGTGTGTCTGTGCCCTTTGTTGCTGCACAGGCTCCTCACAAGAGATCCTGCGGGCATCGCTTGCTCTCCTTTGCCTTCTGGCAACTGAGTTGGATCATAGTGAATTGTATTTATGTTTGTTGAGAAACCGTCTTTACAAATAAAACTGTTAAAATGGCTGTCGGAAACACTTTAATTTCTCGGTTGCCTTTTATATGTGTAAATCCTAGGTCAGCTAGGATTTCTTTTGCATAGTTATGCACCACAGATGTGCATACATTAAATATATGTTGTATATACAGTGGTTTCTAAAATTCCAGTTCAGATATCTTTGATTTAGCATTAGGAGATAACTGAGTGCTTTATCAAATGGGTAAGGATTGCTTATTTTCCTGGATAGTCTTCAACACTGTTGAGAAATTAATGGCAGCTTCAAAATTTATGAAGGGCAAAGAAATTGTATTCTCTGATTCAAAAAACTAATTAGAAGTAAATGCCTGTGGGTATTGGGTTCCCCCCCCTTACGTTTTGGGAGAATTAGAGGAAAATATAATAATTGCTTTCAATGTTACAGGCAGCCAGCAACAAGCGTGAAATGACCTTCCCTGCATTTCAACAGGAGGATGTAAAAAGTGACATCAGTCAAAAACTGCCAGACCAACAGTTTCTCCTGTTCACCACAAAGGAGGAAGATTTAAAAACAGCAGAGACCAAAAAACCAAACAGAGCTCATGAGTATGAAAAGGAAAACACTCGCTCTGTTTGTCTTCTGGAACAGAAGCGCAAGGTTGTTTCTTCAAATATTGATGTGCCTCCAGCAAGGTAAGGAGAGTAGGGGTTTTTGTTATGTTTTGTTTTAAGCTTTTTTTCTTTTTTCTTCTTGCCTGCTTTTTTTTTTTTTTTTTTTTTTTAATGGGATATTAGAAGGAAGTTTGTTAAGTGGTACAGTGAACTGATAAGACTAGTGTTCATGTCCCAATAGTCCAAAGTCATCTACAACTCCACTATTTGAGAGATCTGCTAGAAAACCAAAACACTGGTAACAGAAACTGAGACCATCTGTGGTGTAGGACTTTGCATTCCTTTTGTATTGTTTTTGCTTTTAGAATGTGCTGCAGCTGAAGTACTCTTAATAGAGGACATGTCTCAGCAGGCAGATTGTTGACCCAGCTTCACCCTGAGAAGTAATCTTCTAAATTAGACACAGAATCATCTTACCTGCTAGCAATTACTTTTTTGCATATTTTTTAAAAATTTATTTCTCACTGTCATACCTGCAACTAGTTGATTCTCGTAAGAGTGTGCAGTTACTTACGCTGCCTAGTGAGGATATGATGTCTTCTGTTCTATTCCTGTATGTATGGTTGGGTCATAATACGGTCTATAAAATGAATCAATAGGTAAAAGTGGAGAGGAAAAGCCAATGCAGGGAAATCAAATTTGTACAAAATGGGCATTTGGGGATTTTGGTATTTCTTTTTAATTTGTTACTCCATGAGGCTCTGTTGTGAATGCACATAAATGTTTGTGTCTTCAGCATTTTCATCTGGGCAGTTACACTTTTAATTATAAACTGTTTATAGGGAATTATTGTGAAACCTGACATAGATCACAGCAAGAAATTCAGGTTTTGTTTGCCTATTTTTTTCCTTCATGATATTTAAGTGGAATAATAGAGAAGAAGAAACTGATCATTTCATATTGGCTAGTGATTTAAAGAGAAAGGACTTGAAAATGCAGAGTCTAGAAGCTTGAAATGTTGTGGGAGGTCTTTACTGCTTTAAGAGATAAAGAGAATGACTCTTCTTGGAAATGCTGAACATTATTATAAAAGAAACTTATCTAGTAATGCTAAACACTTCTGTCAGTGGTATAAAGCTGACAACAAATTGGGTATTCTCTGTTGTAAGATGACAAGTGTTTTTTCTTTTTGTTGTTAATGATTTTGTGTTGGCATCAGTCTATCTGGAAAGATTTTTTCTTAACCTGCCTGGTAGATTCACTTGTACATAATATTCAATGAAAGACCTTCCAAGTTTACAGTGCCACTTAAAAAATACGTAGTCAAGCTGGATGTTCTGTTGTTTTTTG